ATATACCCGTTGAATAACGGAAATCCGCAAGACGGGGAGGAGACGAAGTTAACCTAGCTGGCAAAGGAGCTAACCCAGCTCCTTTGGTCTTATTTATGGTCATATGTATTTAGCAAAATATGGTATACAAACCGAACCAATCAACAACAAAACCTGGTTTTAAATTGTTGTATATTTCTCAAAAGTCAAAACCCATAATAACCAATGGAACAGAAAAAGCTAATGCAGAGCATACTTACGCTTGGAGTAAAGAGTGATGCAAGCTTCCATTGGCACACCCGAAAACGCATCAGAGCATGGAAAGAAACCTAAAAACCAATAAATTAAACAATAATTAAATCTTAGTGCATGGAAAACGAATCCTATACATACCAAAGTCCGAATCTCAGTGCCTTAGAATGACCTCGATACCAAAAACTTTAAGTTACTACTTCCATATATGTAATATTTTAGTTTGGGGAGAGAGATTCGCAACGAAGAGTAATTCCTGAATTTAACAGCCAAGTTTGTTATCCCTAATCTAAAGAGAGGAATACTTAAATTGTATTAACGACAAAAATTAGCCTCCTCTGAAGATTCATCCCTGAAATAAGTAATCTTTCTGACTTTGTGGCAACTGTGTTATCAAAAGTTGAGTGTTTCTTCTGCAAAAAAAGACATATTTGAAAATAATAAGAACATGTACCTCAACAAAATCGGGAGGTACCTCATCTTTTTACAACAAAAAGAAACATACCAAACCATCGATGATTACCTTCTCAAAAGTTGAAACCAAACTTTTTGATTATAAAAATTGATTAGTGGTGAAAATAGTGAAACCATAAATACAAAAAAAAAAAAAAAAATCAAATTTGTACATATAAACTATAAGATCACCTGTTTTTCATTGAATTAGGTCCAAATTTTCCATACACCAGTTCACATCGTCCCCTCCATACATCCACCCTAAAATAAAAAGAAAAATTAAAATTAGGTAGAAGCAAAAAAAAGTTTGAAAAAAAAGAACAAAAAAACAAGGGTTAGTTATGATCTGAAATTGAATACCATGAGCAAGGTATTTATATTGAATAGGAGGCGGTGCATGATTTAGGGTTTCTAAATTTTTCGACGATAAATACAAAAAAAGAAAAGAAAATTTACATATTTTAATAAGCAAATCACTATCATAATAATAAATATTTGTAAAACTGCCATTTAGTCATTGTTATCCATGTTTATTTAAAATAATATTTACTTTTTTCCGTAAAAATATGGAATAATAACAACTATTTTAGATTTACTACTATATCTGATACTATCTTATAAAATATATTAAAATTTAAGGGAAAATTCCTTTCTGTTTCAAAAATAAGGCGGAACAATAATATAATTTTTGATTTACAATAGATAGACATGCATGGTATCCATATGCGTCATGTCACGCTGATCCATATTTTTTTCCAAAACTCGATCTAATTGCTATTATGTGCAAAAATCACCGCCGTTCACGTTCATGTTCACGTTAGTACTCCATACCTTAATTCACATGTAAACCTCTCTGCCTATCTCTGACTTCAGCTCTCTCATCTTCGAGTCTCCCCAAGAAAGTTTTGACACCACACCAACATTTCATTCGTCAAAATTAAATCGAGTTTGCACAAGGTTACAACCGATTAATAGGTGGTCTTCTACCTTCTATTTACGATTCTATGCTATGAATATATGTTTTTGTCAGGGTTCAAGTCAATCTCCGGATTAGAGACTTATAATCATCCGACGAACAATACGATGGCGTGATAACCGTTTCTAAATTGGTGGGTTCTCTTTCATTGATCTACATATTATTATTTTTGTTCGTTTTTTTTTCCAAATATTTAGATTGAAACGACGACGAACACGACGATCATACCAAAAATTTCATCTATTCCGGTACGTTTGATCTTTATTTTAATTAGTTTAACAATTAATAGCCGTTTACGATTAATTTCGGATATCTAAATCTTATTAATTTGAGTAAGGTTAGAATAGTATTCTTTTATGTTTATATTAATGCTCCGATTAATAATTTTCGGATATTTGACATTATCATCTTAAATATATCAATATTATAATAAATATTTTCCTTTTCCGTTTTTTTTTTTGGTATAATTCCTTTTCCGATAAATTATGAAACAGATCTGTTTACACAAAAGGTAAAAAAGAAAAAAAAAAAAAAAGAAAAAAAAAAAAAATCCATCAACCGTCTCCATTCACACGTTTCTTCATTATGATCACGAATTCACGTTCATGGAAGCTTCATCATACATTAACACTTACAAGTTTCTTCGTCGAGTTTTTATCCAAAGTTTCTTCGTCAACTCTGTATCCAAGGTAATAAATATTTGTTCTTTTCATTGGTTAGAATTATATGGTGCAGGATAGTATTGACGTCTTAAAGACATAACATGGGCAATATACTATGAGAAGCTTGACTATTCTGCTTCGACAGATCAACAGGTGAAATTCTATCACTAAATTATTAGATCTCTGTTATTGCTATGAATATATGCTTTATGTTAGGATTTCAAGTTTTGCCTTCGTTTAGAAGAATTATATTCACACGACGAAGAACACGATGAATTCAATTAAAGCTTCCTAACTGGTACTTTGTTGTTCCTTTTTTATTTTTTTGGTTAATTATCATGTTTATTGTTTCCAAAATTATTTTTTCCTGGTTAATTCCGAAATTCAATTTAATTTTCCAAAATTAATTAGATTTCATTAAGGGTAATTAAGTAATTACGTAAAATCAATGACTCAACAAGAGCCGAGAGTCCGACACGTCAGCAAAAACACTTCTCAAATATTGTTATATATAGATTGTATGATTAAGTTCTTAATGACAATAGACATTTGAACCAATTAAACGCGGGCAACGAACGTTGTAGTAGTTGCTCACTACGTGATTTGACCCATTTCTCTCATTTTTTGGCACCTCTTTATGTTCTTATCATTGTTATCATTATGAAAATATTTTTTTTACGAAATTTATTGACCGACATCTTACACTATCTACTAACTGCAGCTCTCGTCTTTGTCCTTCCTGGCATTTTATGGAGTACCACATCGCATTGTACATTCAATAATGGAGTTTGTAAATGAGATTATAAATGGTTTGAATGAAATGTTTTTTTGATAGATTATGTACTTATAATTTTAAACTAACTGATAATAAATATATTGAGATATATCATTTATATATTGGTTCATCTCTCTTATTTATATATTAGCATTTTCCATCATTTTTTCCGGTGAATTGTCTAGTCTATTTCGAATCGAATTTAACTTTAAATCTACATCATTATTCTTAAATCCTCATCATTCTCTATTTCTCCTACTATTTTAGACCAATAATCTGATTTTTATATAAAAAAATAAAAAAATCAACTTAAAAACTAATTGACAATCAGTTGATGGTCCGGCTTGGTACATAACTAAAATAAGATTAAAAATGTGGTCCTAAGTTCTTATATATATATATATATATATATATATATAAGTATAGTGTTATGGAATAGGAATATCATCGAATAAAAAAAATTGTTTATTTTACATATAAAGAAAGATATATTTATAAATATCTTGCAGAATTTGTTTCAACTATATGATTGAATATTGATTAATAACTGTTAACTAATATTCTATTCATATCCATCCTAATCGATGTAAATTAACACACCAATATACAAAGACTTTTTTACAACTTTAAGAAACTAATAGTCGTTTAACTTATTCACCATTTATTTTTAGTATATAAATAAACAAAGATTTGTATAAGGCGATGTGAAAAAAAAAATATAAAGTTATTTGTAAAGGGCCAACATTAAATTATGTTGGACCAGAAATTTTCATTTGTTATGCTAAACATACATGTGGCCTGTTAGAAGTAGCTCCTAAATTAGGTTAGTACATACATTGAGTGTTTAGCTAAGACATGCAGCTCATGCAAAGATTCCCACATAAATATGTGAAATTGTTGTTTTTATTTCTTTGGTGAATGTTCGTTTTCTTATCCGGATGTTGTTTATTTTGTCCACTTAAACATTTGAGTTTGGATATAATATCAGTAGCATCCAAAAATAATGAGATTTTAAAAGAAGCCATCATCTTCTGCATATTTCTTCTGAAAACTCTCTAGGATCACCTCCATATGTTCAACCAATAAAAATCTAAACGAGTAACAGGAGAGGTAACTGGTGATGAGAACATAGTCTACCGTCCTCGAGGCATATCATGATTATATTTATTTGTAAATCTACCTTGAAACACCCACCTCATGGCCATGGGATGTACTGATGTAGTTTATGTCACTGTTTTGCAATACTACTTCACCCATTTTAACTCTTTTCTTCGTTTTAAACTAAATATTGCTTTGATTGCTCCGTATCTTTTTTTTTTTTTTTTTTTCCGATTTTTCTATTTTTTGTTTATGTATTTTTTTCTATTTTTTGATATTACAGATTATTATTTTCTGAAGTTACATATGTTAACTCTTTTTCTCTAGATTGGACAACCATTCATGGAGTCAACTTTTAATTAATGTGTAGTTGAAAAAAAAAACTAAATATTCTTTTAAACTCTTTATTTAATTTTTAAAAAAATTATTTCGTCATTTCAATGTAATTTTTTAACGAAATATCTCATTTTCCCCTAATAAAATAATGAAACTAATAATATTAGTACAATTTTACAAAGTCAATTTAATTTTAGGATGTAATAAAACATTTTCTGCCTGAAATGTGTCAAACCGTCACTTAATTTGAAACACAGCAAATACAAACATGTCCACATTTGTTTTCGAAATATTGGTTAAGATATAATTTCAGTAAAAGAAATCTTAAATATCTTTGAAGATGCTAAAAAAACTGATGCAGAGTTTTTGAATTCACAGATAAAAAGAAATCCATAATATTGTTAGATCCTACTCACTCTTAAGTTCTTTTGAAATTGGTTACAAAACTGATAATAGACTTATACATGCTAAAATTGAGCATTTGATTTTTTTTTCAGAAAAAAAATAAATAAGTTAGCCGATCAAAAAGCAGAGCCAGAAATAACTTATAACAAATTTAGATCTAACCACCATGCGGAAGAATTGGAGAAAAATAGACCTAAAAAAAAGGTTAAAACCCCAATTTCAAAGTAACAGAATTAACGACCACAAAATAATAACAAGCAAAAAATCGCAATCTGTCTTAAGCCTTTTTTTATCCTCAACAAAACCAATCTCTCATTTGTTCTTCTGCATAATCTCTCACACACTTCTATTTCTCCCTCTCCTTGTCACAAGGAAAGGGCGTAGAAGAAACCAAAACCTAAACAAAAGAGTAATAATAACTCATTAAAAAAACAAAACAAAACAAAAATAAACAAAATGGGTGTCAAGATGTTACTAATCTTTGGTCTCTTGATCTTAGCCATGGTAGCTAAATCCGTCAATGCAACCTACCCATTGACCAAATCTTGCATCAACGGGCAAGGTTGCATCGGGGAAGATGATGAGCTCGAATCTCTAATGGATTCAGAGACAAACCGTCGTCAACTCGCTAGAGGACGCCGTTACATTGGCTATGATGCTCTCAAAAAGAACAATGTGCCTTGCAGTAGACGTGGCCGATCTTACTACGATTGCAAGAAGAGAAGAAGGAATAATCCTTATAGGCGTGGATGCAGTGCCATCACGCATTGCTATAGGTACGCACGCTAAATGATAGAGAGGAAGATTTGATTCAACAACGTACGTTCGATCTTCATTCTTCATTCTTGATCGTTAATATTTTAATTGCCTCTCCTTACTTCCACCTTTTTTTTCATTCTTTCTTAACGTATCCTATGTTATACGTATGATCTATATATATATTCTTTTTTTTTGTTCTTTATTTAATCATCATGATGCATATAAGCTTTTGATTCATTGGTATATCACTTCTTTTCCTTTGTTGTTGTCCTTTTTTATTTCGTTTCGTTCATATAATTAAGTTCCGTTTTGTCTATTATATACATCATGATGTTTTAGTATTTTACAATTAAGCATTTTGTTTTAAGACGAGGGGCCAGATTGGACCTATTTCTTATTTTATATCTCCTTTTGGATTTCTTATATCGAAACAAACACGGCGAATTAGCCTTGGTTACTTATAGTTGATATTGTTTATGATGGATCTAACCCGATTAGACTAAGATATCGAATAATTTCTCAATTTATCAAAAACGTTCGCAATAATCTTTTAAAAAATGAGAAATCATTTGAGGTTTCTTGCTTAAATTTCTGAGTAAGATTTTGGGATGTATCCACATGAAACTATGGCTTTGAAATCATGATTCACATCACATCGTTTTTGAAGTCAGTTACTGTTACGGGATATTTATTATGATATTTCTACAGTTACATATCAGAACACGAGTTTTTGACGGAATGACGTGACAATAATGAAAAATGTGAATTATCAAAGAAAATAATAAAATTAGAAAAGATAGTGAAACTGAAATGTAAATGGCTAGAAGAAGTGTTTTGGGGTCTCAATGTAAAATTTCATTTTGGATTAGAAAAGCCCAAGTCCGAGCCCAAATCACCCGCAACCTTCATGTTTAGGAAAAATGTTTTGGAGTTCAATTTAGGGTGATTTAGGTGAATAACCAAAAAAAAAAAGAAAAATTAGTTTTTTAGAAAGAAAGTAGAGAGAGATAGGGAGAGAAAGAGAGTGAATAGGGGGGGTTAGAGGTTAGATATTTAATTTTGTTGTTTTTTTAGGTTATCTAGTGCAATTTCTCTTCAATTTAAGATCTCAAATCAACCTCGAAGAGTTTCCATAACATTTTTTTTTTTTTTTTGGCAGAGATGTTTCCATAAATAAGACTAAGAATGTCTATGGATGATAATTTGGAACTGAAATGGGTGACAACATAATTTGGTTGGCTGGCATTAATAGTCACTTCTAGTTAAGTATATAGACGGTCGACACTAGAACGCATTATTAAAATTTTGACCAAAAAAACTTATAGAGTTGAGGGTATTTATCCGGTCATACTCGAAACAGCTTCAAGTTTATGGGGCAATAAAGAGATCCCTAAGAAAAAGTCTAATGTTCTTCACTTAGGCCCATCCTGTGTTCTGACTCATTTGCTTGCTGCTTTTTTTTTACTTGTTTGTTTGTTTGTCTGAGGAAATGTTTAGTAGTTTCATGGTCACAAGACCCACCTGCACTACTACTTCATTCAGCACTGTATGGTCTTTTTCCAAAAAGTCATTAAAAATAAAAACAAATGAGAATGCCAGAAACAAAATAACTTTTTTAATATACTTGTAAATGAGATTTTACAAATAGGCTTATCTCATTTTTTGTTGTTGGAATAATATTCTTTGTTGTAGTAACTTGTAAAAGAAGAAGCTTTTGTCATCTAAATCTTGATATATATCAAGGAATTTAGGTACAACATCATCAAAACATAGGGATTGAATTCTAGTGGGTAAGATTTACCTATAGAATACATCAACACAATTATTTTCACAAATGAGTGAAGGAAAAAATCTTTTTTGTAGGATTTAAATTTTTTGAAAGAGAAATTTTATAAAATGAGTCAACCGCAATCGCTTTCAGTAACACCACTAATAGTGGAAGTAGGCCCACAACTTCAACTCTTTCACATGAAATTTAAAAAAAATAAAAATTCTAGAGGGGGAAAGAGATAATAATAGATCCGGTCCACCATGAGAAGATTGAGTCAAGTTTAATTTAATTTTTTTTAGTCTTCGAAGACCATTTAATTATAAATACATAAATAATTAAAGTGTTAATTATTTCTGTAGCCCACGTCCCTTTTGTGCAACCAATTAAAAACAAGTATAATTTACGAAAGTTTCCAACAAGCCTAATTTTTCTCCAAACAAAAACCTTTGACCAAGAAATATTCAAAAGATCTTAAAATAAAAAAACTAAAGAAATCATATGGGGCCATTTAGCATATGCCCATTGCCTCAATCCATATGCCACTAAGTCCACCTTCAACTATATTTTAAAATAAAACACTCAATATGATTTTTGACCCCAAGATATTATTAGACCCAACAGTGACCACAACCAAAACTTGTACTCTAATGTTTCCAAACAACAATTTTGTTCTTCTTACGGTTAAAAACAAACAATATCATTATCATTCATTAGGCTGAAAATATAGGTAAAAGAGGTCAAATCTCAAAAAAACCTATCATCAAATCATGAATCCAAAGAAAAAATAGTCAAAAGATTCCTTACCCCTTAATTAATACTCTCTCTTTTAGACAGCTAAGCCCCACTCTTTTCTCTTCCTTCTATCCAATTTACTCTTTTCTTTCTTTTTTCAATTTTTGTATTCTCCTTTTCCTAAGGAGAAAAGATGAAACAATAATAACAAAAAAAATCTCTTTATTTTCCACACTCCTTTTTCTTTTGTTTACTCTTTCTTTATTTCATCAATCCTTAGCAAAAAAAGGTTGGACCAATTTGGTTCTCTCTAAAGACCAATCTCTTCATCATTTGTTTACTGAAAAAAAACAAATTTAGAATGCAACTAATCCTATACTATTATTTGGGGAGTACACTTTATAAGATACCCTTAACTAACCTTTCATTTTGTAAGAATTTACTTAAGAATGCCATTACAAAAATCTTCTTTTAGAACAAATTTCATTCAATTTATTAAGGATAAACAAGTAAAATACTAATTTATGTCATTTAATTAATTTAATTAAATTATAAAACGAAAATCTGTTATTATATATTTTTTTAAATGACCAATCAAAATGAACATATAAGATTTGATATCTAACTTACCATATTAATTTGTTATTAATCATTAAACTTCACCTCTCATCTTTATATGATTATATTAATATGAAACAAATAAATCATCATATCATCTACATAATAAAAAAAAAAAAGTAAATTTTTTTCTGCATATGCCAAGATTTGAATTTTTAAAAACGCATATAAATTGTTCAATCTATAAAAGAAACAATTAAACGGGTCAAAAATTCAAACTTAAGTAAAATATTTATTTACACAAAAATAAAGTCAACAAAAATTCCGACTGATCAACGGGTCAGAATTTGAATATTTATATTCGATTTCATACATTTATTTTTTTGAAATGTATAATTTTATATACTACAATAAAAAAATTAAATATTTTAATTTGCAACATTTAAAATAAGTTTTACTTGATATTTTTAGAGAATATCATCAATACTTAATAGTTCAAAAAGTTAAAAATTATAAATACTCTAATTTGATTATTTTTAAAAATATTTATAATAGGTAGCGGGTTAAATATAATATATTATATGATGAAATGAGTTTTGATCCTTATAACTATTTGAATAGTTATATTTAATTTCATATAATTTGTTTTTTGAAATTCATAATTTTATAAACTACAAAAAAAATTTAAAGATTTTAATTTGGAATATTTAAAAATAGTGTAGAACATTTAAATATGGTTTGACACCTCTAAATATTTGAAAATTTGATTCCGTAAGCAATTTTAGAATTAACGAATAATAGATTGTGCACAGAATATTTTAAAATGAAATATTGAGATTCTAAAATAAAAATATAGACTCCACGCACGGGTTGATTTTGGTATTATTATATACTAAATATATGTTTATAACATATTCGATTATGCGAATACTTGGTAAATTCCGTAATTATAAATCTCAAACAAATTCTGTAATTAGATTAGCACAAACAAATCTCTATTTCAACAACGAAAGAATTATGAATTGAAAAAGAATTTTCTAAATTAATTCAAAATAATACCTAATTTTCTTAATTAATTCAAAATAATCTATGTTTTATATGCGATTCATTTATGATATTTTAATTTTTGATCTAACTGAAATATATGCAATCCTATTTTGTGGTTGTTAACATAAATTAACTCATTGTTCAAAAATTATTACTTTTTAAAAAATAAAATTATTTTCCGTTTTCATATCTTAAAAAAAAAAATTATCCATAACTGAGTATTATAGAAAAAATTCTATATTTATTCTAATATTGTATATAGGGACTGACAAAAAAATTAATATTTTTTCACTTACTATTATAATATATTAAAACTTAGTTCTAATATATATATTATATAAATTTTGTAATAAATAAAATTCAACCCGTACTAAAGTACGGGTGATGATCTAGTTGTGTGTTTATGGAAATAAAATAGAATAGAAACAAAAAACAATTTGATCATTTAACTAAAAATTGTATAACTCACTGAATTAATATGAGTACTACTATCAATCTAATTTATCAAAATCTGCAGAATAAACTCATCAATATAAAACCATAGGGAGAGATTTAAAATACAATTGAAGGCGATGATTTAAAATCGCGAATTTGGATTTAGCAAACATCTCAACATTACAAATTTTTCTCGTATAATTCTCAACAGGATTTATCTCAATTCCCAATTATAATATATAATTAAGATCACAAAAGGATAATAAAAATCGAGTAAATAAATAAAAATTAGGGTTTTTTTCAAGAAGTAGAAGCTGATGAAGAACCTGAGACTCGAGGAGAAGTCACCGGGAATAGAGGAAGAAGTCGAGGCTCTGGATCCATCGGAGTTGTTGCCGGAGATGGATGCAAATAAAAGCCTCTCTCTTTCATCGCTTTCTCCTCCGCCGCAAGCTCGTTGGGGCTTTGATTTGATGACCCGGATCGATCAAACGGGTCGGGTATAAGAGGCGTAACCGGGCTAAGAACGAGAGATGGGAAATCGAGGATGCTCGGAGAGAGGATCTCCGGTTTCCGGGGAGAGAAAGCTGAATTAACCGGGTTAAAAACCGGGTTTAAAGGATTGATTTTGAGATTCTTCATTGAATTACGACGCTCGTAGAGACGAAACCCTGATGAGGAAGAAGAAGAAGACTGTTTCTTGTTTGGTACGGCTTTGATTGGTGGGATTGAGAAAGAAGAAGGAGTGGATCTTGGGTCGGGTTGATGGGTCGGGTTTGGTTTAAGAGATGAACCGTGTTTGGGTCTCTCGGCGGATCCGGTTAGCATCTGGACGACTTGTTTGAAGGATGAAGTATCTGCTTGAACGAATGTTGTCGGGTACGGGTTTCCGGATTCAGATCTTGTGGTTATGTGTCGGGTCGGAGTTGTTGGTGGTTTGTTAGTTTCACTGCTACTGCTCATACTGCAACTGTTGGTGTTGTGACATCTCGGCGATGGAATCAGATTCGTCGCTTCTCTGTATCTCGGCGAATTCTCCATTGTAGAAGAGAGCTTTTAGAGATAGAGAGAGAGAGATGAAAATTGTGTTTTGTTTTGAGTTTAAGCTTTTGTGTTTTGGTTCGGTAAGAAAAATGTTTTCGGTGGGCGCTATAGGCTCTTTAGTCTTTTTCTAGTTTTTTAGGTCTTTGCTCACGCGCTGATGCAGCGGGTGGTGTCACGCGCCGTCGTTGAAAGTGGGGGGAAAATGTGCTCTAAATGATAGAGGTAGAGACCAAGTCTTAACAACGATATAATTTACCCAAAGAACATTGAATTTCCTTAGAGGAAATTGTTGAACTCAATATCCAATGATGGTTTAGATGACTAGGACGTTTATGTGACCTTTTTGGTCAATATAATAAATATAACTCGAAATGATTTTATGGTAAGTTGATTTATCTACGTGTCGTCGTGCTATATATATTCATTCAACCAAGAAATGCTTTTCTTGGAAGTAATCTAATCATTGGGTTTGACTAGGTTCGTTTATTTGTAGAGAGAAGTTGGGCTTTAATAGCTTGGGCCTTATATTTACTGAAAATCCATGTGTACTTAGGTTGTTGCTTTACTTGTTACCAAACGGGTTCGGTGTGGATTAAGAAACCCAGCCCTGTTAGTGTGCATTTTTATTTGGGCCAATGTATCCTACGGTTTATATTTTACCTTGATGTTATCAAACTATGTAGTATCGATGACATATTCAACAGTTTTCTAATTTTTGGTCACATGTATGAATATTGATGCTAGAATTTAGGCTTGAGATTCGGAACGTGTTATTCGGATTATCGTGTTGTGATTTTGGTGAAATGCTTTTATCCATATATTCAATAGTTGAAATGATCAAACCTTATGAATGTTGTGCAAACTTGATAAACCTTAAAGACTTGAGGCCCAAGATTAAACTAAATAAGTCGGTTTAGTTAATAGATTTGGGATAAGATTTAGCTAGGTTAGGAGTTATCAAATCCTAGTGTGTTTAGGACTTTTGGTTTTGTATAAATAGAGGTACCTAGATTGTGGTAACCCTATGAGTTGTTTTGAGATTAAGAGAGATTGTGTAACCTTTGTTTTGAGTAAGTTTCAAAGGTAATAAGAAGAGTTGTTCTTATAAACACAAAGTCTTGATCATTAGGTTTTGATCCTTAGTTCTTAATTCAATATTTGGTATCAGAGCCATACTCTTGGATTGAGTAACCTAGGATCTAAAAGAAAGCTTTACACGCTACGAACAGAGTTCGTTAAAGGTAAAGCATGGCTGATATAATCCCGGTTCCAGCTAGGAACAAGGAGACTAGTTCTTCTATACAGTGCCCGATGCTTAGCACATCAAACTACACTGCATGGAACATGCGAATGAGAGGAGTACTTAGGGTTCATAAGGTTTGGGATACAATAGAACCAGGAAACGACGATGTAGAAAAGAATGATTTAGCTAAGGTTCTCTTGTTTCAATCTATACCAGAAGCAATGATTCTTCGAGTGGGAGATTATGAAACTGCAAAAGAAGTCTGGAATGCGATCAAAACAAGAAACCTAGGTGCTGAAAGGGTAAAAGAAGCTAGATTACAAACTCTAATGGCTGAATTCGATAAACTAAAGATGAAAGAAACAGAGACAATAGAAGAATTTGCCGGAAAACTTTCTGAAATATCAACAAAAGCAGTTACATTAGGGGAAAGCATTGAGGAACCTAAACTTGTCAAGAAGTTTCTTAAAAGTGTACCTCGTAAGAAATACATTCACATAGTTGCTTCTCTTGAACAAGTACTTGATTTAAAAACAACAAGTTTTGAAGAAATAGTCGGAAGACTAAAAGTATATGAAGACAGAGTATGTGATGAAGAAGATCAACATGATGATCAAGGAAAGCTCATGTATGCTAACTCAGAATCACAAACCTATCAAGAAAACTATGGTTCAGGAAGAGGCCGAGGATCTAGTTTCAGAGGCAGAGGCAGAGGACGATTTGGTGCTCAACAGAATGGTTCTGTTAGACAAGGAAAAGATAAAACTAAAGTCATATGTTACAGATGTGACAAGAGTGGACACTATGCTTCAAATTGCCCTGATAGACTACTAAAACTCCAAGAAACACTGGAGAATAATGAAGACGAAACTCAAGAAGCTGATAGACTAATGATGCATGAAATAGTCTACTTAAACGAAAAAAATGTAAAGCCAGACAAATTTGAGATTCAGAAGGATGGTGACAATATCTGGTATTTAGATAATGGTGCAAGCAACCACATGACAGGAAACAAAGACTATTTTTCTAAACTTGATGAAACAATCACAGGAAAAGTGAGATTTGGAGATGATTCATGCATAGATATTAAAGGAAAATGATCAATTCTCTTTGTAAGCAAGGATGGTGAAAGAAAGGTACTTGCAGACGTGTACTATATACCTAATCTAAGAAGCAGTATCATAAGTCTCGGACAGGCCACAGAAGCAGGCTGTGATATTAGGATGAAAGATGAGCAACTAACAATACATGACCAACAAGGTAGACTACTTGTAAATGCTAAGAGATCAAAGAACAGACTGTACAAGGTTCTTATGAAAGTTGAACCAACAAAATGTTTACAAATAGAAGAAGTTAGTGACTCAGCAAAGTGGCATGCAAGATTAGGACACATAGGGTTAGATACTATGAAGTCTATGATAAGTAAAGAGTTAGTCATTGGTTTACCTAGTATAACAGTTGAAAAGGAAACATGTTCTTCATGTTTACTAGGAAAACAAGTAAGACAAAGTTTTCCTCAGGCTACATCATACAGAGCTTCACACATATTGGAACTCATACATGGAGACTTGTGTGGACCGATTACACCTTCCACAGCCGCACAAAACAAGTATATCTTTGTGCTAATAGATGATTACTCCAGATATATGTGGTCATTGCTTCTGAAGGAGAAAAGTGAAGCATTTGAAAAGTTTAAAAAATTCAAAGTTCTAATCGAGCAGGACACTGGAACAAAAATAAAGACTTTCAGAACTGATAGAGGTGGAGAATTTACCTCTCATGATTTTCAAAGTTTCTGTGATAATTCAGGTATTCAGAGACATTTAACAGCTCCATACTCACCACAACAGAATGGTGTAGTAGAAAGAAGGAATAGAACTTTACTTGAGATGACTAGGAGCATTCTAAAGCATATGAAAATGCCAAATCATCTATGGGGAGAGGCAGTGAGACATGCTACTTACCTCATAAACAGAGTGGCAACAAGAACTTTAAAGGATAAAACTCCATATGAAGCATTTAAAGGAAAGAAACCAAACATCATACATTTGAAAGTATTCGGATGTATTTGTTATGCAAAGACTGAAACACAGCACTTGAAGAAACTTGATGACCGATCAAAAGCCTTAGTCCATCTTGGAACAGAACCCGGATCCAAAGCATATAGATTGTTGGATCCAGCAAAAAGAAGAATTATGGTAAGTAGAGACGTAGTCTTTGATGAGAAAAGAAGTTGGAATTGGAATCATTCAGGAAAAGATGAGAGTGATAATGTTCCTGGAATGTTCAAACTCAGACTTGGAGAATACGGAAATCATGGTCTAAGAGAAGAAGCTTCAGAAACAGAAAACAGAACAGAAGAAACAGGAGAAAAAGAAAATGAAAATACTAATGAAGCCTTGGATAATGAGAATGACTTCTCTGAAAATACTTCAGAAACATCTTTAGAAGAAACTGAAAACCAAGAACAGGCCCCAATGCAACCACCCCTAAGACGATCTGAGAGACAGAGCCATAAACCAGGGTATCTAAATGACTATGTACTCTTAGCTGAAGCTGAATATGAAATAATTGAGCATCTCTTGCTAACATTAAATGAAGAACCATGGGATTATAAAGAAGCAAAGGAGTTAAAAGAATGGAGAGATGCTTGTGATGAAGAAATCAGTTCAATAAACAAGAACAAAACTTGGAGTCTAGTAGATCTTCCAAAGGGAGCAAAAGCAATTGGTCTGAAATGGGTTTTTAAAATAAAACGCAACTCTGATGGAAGCATAAACAAATACAAGGCACGTCTTGTGGCAAAAGGATATGTTCAAAGGTATGGAGTTGATTTTGAAGAAGTGTTTGCACCAGTAGCACGCATTGAGACTATTAGGTTTATCCTCGCTTTAGCTGCGTCAAATGGATGGGAGGTTCATCACTTAGATGTAAAGACTGCATTTCTCCATGGAGAGTTAAAAGAAGTTGTGTTTGTTGTGCAGCCAGAGGGATTTGAGATAAAAGGGAGTGAAACCAAGGTTTACAAATTACATAAGGCCCTATATGGTTTAAAACAAGCTCCGAGAGCTTGGAACAATAAGCTAAACTCTATTCTTAAGGAATTGAAGTTTATCAAATGTTCTAAAGAACCATCCTTATACCATAAACAGGATAAAGATCATCTTCTCATTGTTGTTGTGTATGTAGATGATCTGTTAATCACGGGTTCAAACTTGGATGTGATACTTGAGTTTAAAAGGGGCATGGCAACAAAGTTTGAAATGAGCGATTTGGGAAAATTGACCTATTATCTAGGTATAGAAGTACATCAACATGCAGGAGGCATTACTCTGAAACAAGAGAGGTATGCATCTAATATACTAAGTGAAACCAGAATGGAAGGATGTAATGCGGTTCACTCACCAATGAATGCAAATCTGAAACTGAGCAAGGCATCAGAGGAAAAAAATAATGAAACAGAGTATAGGAGAAGTATTGGATGTTTGAGATACTTGCTACATACTAGGCCAGATCTCTCCTTTTGTGTTGGTGTATTAAGCAGATACATGCATGAGCCCAAAGAATCTCATGGTACAGCACTCAAGCAAATTCTCAGATATTTGAAAGGAACAACAGGTTATGGTTTAACATTTGCTAGAAAGACAGAACCTAAACCTGAAACAAGACTCCTAGGCTATAGTGATAGCAGTCATAATGTAGATGAGGACGATGGTAGAAGTACTACAGGCCACATTTTCTATCTACATAATTGTCCCATTACATGGTGTACGCAGAAACAGAACACAGTAGCCTTATCATCTTGCGAAGCAGAGGTCATGGCTGCAACAGAAGCAGCAAAACAGGCGATATGGTTGCAGGATCTTCTGAGTGAGGTTATGGGAGAAACATGTGACAAGGTGTTACTCCGGATAGATAACAAATCCGCTATAGCACTTGCCAAGAATCCTGTGTTTCACGGCAGAAGTAAACATATTCATAAAAGGTATCATTTTATTAGGGAATGTGTTGAGAATGATCAAGTTGAGCTAGAACATGTTCCCGGGGATGCACAAAAGGCAGACATTTTGACTAAGGCATTGGGACGGATTAAGTTCAAAGAAATGAGGGAACTTATAGGTGTTCATGATGTGAAGATTGGAGATATCAAGTTTGAAGGGGAGAATGTTGTGCAAACTTGATAAACCTTAAAGACTTGAGGCCCAAGATTAAACTAAATAAGTCGGTTTAGTTAATAGATTTGGGATAAGATTTAGCTAGGTTAGGAGTTATCAAATCCTAGTGTGTTTAGGACTTTTGGTTTTATATAAATAGAGGTACCTAGATTGTGGTAACCCTATGAGTTGTTTTGAGATTAAGAGAGATTGTGTAACCTTTGTTTTGAGTAAGTTTCAAAGGTAATAAGAAGAGTTGTTCTTATAAACACAAAGTCTTGATCATTAGGTTTTGATCCTTAGTTCTTAATTCAATAATGAATCTCTCATGGATTGATATTTGATCTCGCGTCTGTTCAAAGAAGAAAGTAAAGAGTGAACTTAGAACGATTAACACCGCAATTTTCAAGTTCGATCATCAAATTGGTGATCAACGACTCAGAAAAAAAATAAAAAACTTACAACTGAATTCTCGTGACAAGGAAAAATAGTAATTTCATTCATGAGATGAGACTAAGCGGAGTGAGTTACAAGACCATGAATTGATTTAAAGCAACAACATAGATTCTGTTGAACCAAAATGCATGTAAAGGCCTAACCAGTGCATAACAAACCCGGTTGACATTTTTCAAGAGAACCATATATATGCCGAGCACGTGAGAAGCTCAAGTTATGAGCAAAGTCGAATCTTGATCCATGACACCACATAAATATAAGGTATCATCATCACTTAGATCCTAACTTAATCGCTCCGCCACAAGCCATAAACCTTTCTTGTTAATCACTTTTTGTTATTTCAAACGAGTCGATTAACTTTTTCATAGAAATTAGTATCTTGAATTATTATTTGTCCTTTATAACTTTGAGATTGTGATGGGAAATAATGTCAGCCCCGTGGCCGACAATTACGCAGCTGATTTATCTCCGTATTCAAGAACCGACTAGAAACCCTATTCGATGATTCCCTCTTCCCATCGCGCTTTTCACCGTTTTTTGTATTTGTAATCATATTTTTTGTCTGCAGCGAGATTATATTTATCATTTTTATCAAACACATGAAGAAATTCAAGTTGAGATTTTAAAAATACAAGTTATTCATTCGATTTATGGGTTTTAACATTTCCCTTTGTTCATTCGATTTGTTATGTAATGGAAGCCATCTCATTTTCATAATTTGAACCTTAAATAAATTCAAAAATAAATCTTCTTGAAAGCTGCTATTTTTATTCAAACGAAATTTAAACAACGTCACTTAAAAGAGATACATCACATAAACCCTCAAGCATTTAACTTAAAGACTAGCTAACATTAATTAAAATTCCAACGCACAATAACACACTCTCTCAAGTCTCAATCTTTTGAACATGACGAAATCAAGAATGCAACTAGAGCATCAAATCATCTTCATTTGGGGCAAGTCGGGTTAAAGGCAAATGGACCAACGTTAAAGAGACCGTATGTGAGCTTGTTGACGACAACCGTACCTTTTCCCGGCCTTCTCTCCGGCTTGAGTTCAGCGCCGACATCTCCACCGAAGAGCTTTGAGACTTTGCTGCATTTGTAGTCCTTTGATTTCACCAAATACACACGACACCCTCTGAAACCGAAGTTCGTCACCGTCTTAGGAGCCAACAACAAGAAGTATCCGTTCTTGTCTGTCAACGTCTCCGCTGTTATGTTCTTCTTGCTCTTACACACTAGTTTCACCGTAGCACCTGCACGAACCCATAAAGAAACAATAACTAATATTCGTTAGATTTGTTTTTGGACCAATGGAACTAGTTGTGTGTTTTTAACTGTTGTTTTGGACTAATGGAAATAGTTGTGTGTTTTTAATTATTTTTTTGGGAAGTAGTGAAGATGTGCCAGACTGTAAAAAACAGTGACTGATGAGTGCAGAAGTGTACATAGTCACTCTCTTGCTTTTTTACCTATTTTCGAAACATTGACTAAATACGTACCAAAGGTCCCACTTGTAACGTTTTGAAATTTGAATTATTTTTCGAAGTATGCATGCGTCATGATTTTTTGAAGGTTTTATATGAAATACGTATTATTTTATAGATATACGTATACAATGTTGAGTAAATGCGAATGCAGAGCCAAGTTGAGTTGTTTCAGAGATTATTATTACTGAGGTATTTATGAGTGTATAAAATAAATAATTAAAGTGAAAGAAATACTAATAATAAATTAAGAAAATAGTTCAAACCTTCGATGGGTTTAGCGCCTAAGAGTGTGTTGAAAGCAGCGTATTTACAGCTTTTGCAGTAAACCGTACCACGAACGGCGACTAGACTACGGTTGAACTTAGGAGGGTAAACTGGCGGCGTAACTGGTGGCTTCGTCGGAGGAGAAACCGGAGGCTTAACCGGAGCTTTGGTCGGAGGGTAAACCGGGGGCTTAACCGGAGGTTTGGCTGGTGGGGAAACTGGTGGCTTGACCGGGGGTTTAGTTGGGGGCTTAACCGGAGCTTTGGTTGGAGGGTAAACTGGTGGCTTGACCGGGGGTTTAGTTGGGGGCTTAACTGGAGCTTTGGTTGGAGGGTAAACCGGTGGCTTGACTGGAGGTTTAGCTGGTGGGGAGACAGGTGGCTTGACCGGGGGTTTAGTTGGGGGCTTAACCGGGGCTTTGGTCGGTGGGTAAACTGGGGGCTTAACCGGAGGTTTGGCTGGTGGAGACACTGGTGCCTTAACCGGGGGTTTAACGGGAGATTTGGCCGGTGGGTGAGGGTGAGGGTGAGGGTGAGGGTGGTGGTGATGAGGAGGGTGTGGGTGGTGGTGGCCGTGGTGGTAAGGAGCAGGAGCAGGAGCTAGAGAAGGGGTTTGAGTCACATGGTTCACTTCTTCAGTGAAGACAGAGGATGTGAAGCACCAAAGTGCTACGAGACTCACTAATACACTCTTACCAATGAAACCCATTTTTTGTTTTGTTTTTTTGGTTAGTGATATGTTTTGAGATTATGAAATGGGTGTATTTATAGGAGGAAGGTTCACGCTTCGAGTGTCATGAGATAACTCCCTTTTATTTGTAAATAATAAATAAAAGTCGATCGACATGAATTACTCCATTATTAGTTACTACTACTAGTACCATTTAGTTACTCTTTTTTGGTTACTCTTTTTTTTTTTTTTTTTCTGATAGATATTCAAGATGGAAAACTTTAGTTATACTAATACAACATCTGATTTCGACAAAAAAAAAAAAACTAAGAGCATGATTAACCATAGTTGCTTAACAATGGATCTTAAGAGTATTAAAATAATAAATTTGTAAAAGTGATAGTTAAGAGATTGTATTTTTGGGTTAAGATTTTTGTATGATTAATGGTAGGCTCTTAACAAGTGGTTCTTAGAAAAAAAAATATTAATATAAAAATAAAATTTATAATTATAGAATATTTAATAATTGTTGCAAATTAAAAAAATTAAAACATATATGAGATACAATTTATAACATAAATAACATAAATATTTTTGTTTTAAACTTAATTTCTGGAATATTTTGTCCATATATGCTCGACCAAATCATTCTTCAATTGTTGATGCATATCTCGATCACGAATCCGAGATCTAGTGGCCATCATATCGACGAGATTTGAAGGCAAATCTGTAGAATAAGTGAAATCCACCCGTGAACTTCCTGCAGATTCCGCTTGTTCGAATTCGGTAGTATCATACAGAGTATACCCATCTCGTTCGTCTTCTACTATCATATTGTGTAGTATTAAACATGCTCGCATAATATTTCCTATTTTGACCTTATCCCAACTAAGTGCCGGATTTTTCACAATGGCAAATCGAGCTTGCAAAACTCCAAAAGCACGCTCGACATCTTTACGGCAAGCTTCTTGATGGGTTGCAAATAAAGATGCTTTCTCAGTTTGTGGAAGTGAAATAGATTGGATAAACGTAGCCCATTTAGGATAAATGCCATCAGTGAGATAGTAACCCAAATGATAGTCGTTCCCGTTGACTGTATAATTCACTTTTGGTGCTCGCCCTTTTAAGATGTCATCAAAAACCGGAGAGCGATCTAGAATATTTAGATCATTTAAAGTACCTGGAGGTCCAAAAAACGCATGCCATATCCAAAGATCTTGGGAAGCTACAGCCTCTAAAACGATCGTTGGTTTTCCAGAGGCACGTGTATATTGTCCTTTCCAAGAGGTAGGGCAATTCTTCCACTCCCAATGCATACAATCGATGCTTCCCATCATACTGGGAAATCCTCGAATCTCTCCAATAACGAGTAGCCGTTGAAGATCTTCTGCATTGGGTTTTCGTAGGTACTCATCTCCAAAGCAATCAATAATTCCCTCAACAAAATGTTCCATGCATTTTAGCGAAGTGGTGTCACCAATCCGGAGGTATTCGTCAACCGCGTCAGCCGCCAAACCGTATGCAAGCATACGAATTGCTGCCGTACACTTTTGTAGTGCAGAGAAACCGTACCTTCCTGTAGCATCTCTTTTTTGTTGAAAGAATGGAATTGTGGAGAGGCGATCAACAACACGCATGAATAATGGCTTATTCATTCTAAAACGGCGTCGAAATAGATTAGGAGGAAAAGTTGGATTTTCTGCGAAATAATCGTTCCATAACTGGATGTGGCCTTCTTCACGATGCCTTTCAATATGGACTCTTTTTTTTCTCGGTTTTCTGGATTGTTGAGGATCACCGTATGAGTACAAAGAATTATCCAATTCTAGCTGGAAAATATTATTAATTTCTTCGTCTAACGATTCGTCGAAATTATCATTGGACGACGAAGCCATTTTCTATGTAGAAAATATTAGATTTTTTTGGTATGTAGAAAATATGGTTTTTTAGAAGTAGAAAATGGGCTACGTTTATGAGATGTTGGTATTGAGTTGTTGGTTTGAGAAGTAGAAAATATGGTTTTTTAGAAGTAATAATGAGATGTTGGTATTGAGTTGAGAAGTGAGAACAAAAAGCACTAATGAGATGTGGTATTGGTTTGAGAAGTGAGAACAAAAAGCAATAATGACTTATGGTATTGGTAGAAAATGTTTTACAAGAGAGAATGAGAATGTGAGATGGTGAGAACAATAAGCAATACATGTTTGATTATATAGCAAATGAATCGCAGGTGTACAAAAGAATATGTGGTGTCTTTAGCTTCTCAGCTAAACAAGCAATCAAAAAAATATGTGGTCTCGGAGAGATTGCCTTTATGTTATCTGGTTCACAATGCGATCCCAAATATGTGGTCCTCTTCAACATGTCCTCTTCTTGTCAGCTTCAACATGTCCTCTTCTTGTCACCTTGTCTTTTTGCTTCACGTGTTGGTAGTAGTCTTTTTTTGTTCTATCCTGCACAAAAACACAAACAAAGACATTGTCTGTCAACAAAGATATCATACACTTGAACACAAACAGAAACACTTAAAGATATCAATGTATCATTAATTATAAACTTCAACAAAGTCTGTTAACAAAGACATCAGACACTTGAACACAAACAGAAACACTTAAAGAGATTTTGATACATAAACAAAAAAAAGATCCACAAAGTCTAACAGAAACTTAAACACAAACACAAAACAAATGCAAGCAAAAAATTCAAAGCATTATCTCTCTAATCAGCTTGTTCTTAAGGTCTTCCTCTATTTCAGTAAGAGGAGTAGATTTTGATAGAAGACTATCAAGCAACCGCCTATTGGTTAGCTCCTTCTTCATTGCATGCTCTTGCTGCTTCATTGCAAAATCCTGTTTCTTTATGTCCCAAATAGTATGTATCCTTTTCAATGCTGCTTGCCCTTCTTCTTCAACAGTAGGTAGATTGTTGGCTGGCTTTTTCCCTTTGGCCTTGGCAGCCTTGGCTGCCTTGACACCAGGAGGACGGGCTTGAGGAGAGTCAGACTCTCCATTGCCTTGGGAAGCTTGGGAAGCTTCTGGACCGTCCTCAGTCATTCTTTTTTTGGTGTTTCCAGTCTCTTTCATTCTCTGTGATGCACACCATTTCTGGTCATGCTTTAATTCTCTCCATGCATGCTCTAGCATGAACTTCTTCTTGTAATCAGTCTCGTAAATCTGATGAGCTAGCTTAATCAAGTCATCATCGTTCTGACCACTTGTCATTTGATTTGTTGCAGCTTGGTACGATCCAACAAACTTGCATACAATCTTGTTAATCTTTGCCCACCTTTGCTTGAAATGGCTTGGCAGCCTCTGTTTCAAAGTAGAAACATTGGGACTAGCTGCATAGTAGGTTGCAATGCGATCCCAGAAAGCAACTCCTCTTTGCTCATTACCTACAATTGGATCTTTGCTTGTGTTTAACCAAGCAGAAATGAGCACCACATCCTCTTTAGAAGTCCACTTGTTCCTCTTTCTTGGCATGCGTGTAGCAGGAACGTTTTCAGCTTCACTTGGTGACCATTGAGAGCTGAAAACAGGGACTTGAGATTCACCAAGATCAATACTTGGTGAATCTCTATCATTGCCATTGGGCTGCAGGAATGGGGTATCTTGTTGACTGGTTAGAAGCTCCATGAAGCCAGCAGATTGATTTAAAGGATTCATGAAATATAGGATGAGCTTCTGAGTGTTTTAGTAGGGAAATGAAAGAGGTGTGGTTTGGGTTAGGTTATGGTCTGCGATTTTATAAGGGATGTGTTTTCTAGTGTGTTTTAGAAATCATAAGTTTTTGTTAGGTGAAAGAGTCAGTTGTGTAGTTAGCAATCAATGCAATAACTCAAGTCTTAATACAAACTTAAACATCAAAGCATTAAACACGCAGCATTCATTAAGTTTGATAGACACATTTCTAGTCAGACTCTATTATCCACTAACAAAACAGAGAAGTGCTTGTCAAAATATATACCCTAATCTATATCATCAATAAAGATGAGACAGTTATCTACATGCATTTATTGAATAATAGACTAAATGTAAATCATCAATAAAGATGAGACAGTTATCTACATGCATTTATTGAATAATAGACTAAATGTAAACATAGTTAAGGAAGAAAGGACAGTTAGTACTTACCCTAATCTCTGGCCTTAATCCGTTTTTCATCTCCTCTGAATTCTGTCCTCAGATTCTTCAATCATGCTCTAACAGATTCCAGCTCCCCAAGTATCTCCATATACTCCTTGCAGTAAAACAGAGAACATTATATTAAATTGAGAAGCATAAAACAGCATGTAAACAGAGAACATTATAATTCCCACGATAATATCACATATGGTGATAGACTGATAGTTGTGCAAAGAACTGATAGACCTCCACTTATATAGATACCTCAAATCACATAAAGATAGATGCACTTGCCTTCAGTACATGAAAAAAAAAACAGCATCATCGCCATTGACTGGAGAAACCACATTTTGAGCAGTAGAAGCTGGAACTGGTTGTGATGAAACCACTGGAAGATCAACAGTTGAGTTAAGTTTGAAAAATCTTCTGTCACCGACACCACCAGCTTTTCTTTCTTAGCAGATTTCTTTGTACATATGACCAACATTACAGTTAGAATAATCCTCATTTATTTTAAGGATGAGTTACGGAATCCCAAACTCTTACCAGTTTCTGGCTTCAGTGTTCCGAATTCGACTTGGGAGACTTCTTCCCGAGAAGCAATGTCTTGATCCATTCACCAGGAGTCTTTCCCATTCTGAAGAGAGCAAGATGGAGTCTGAAAATAATAAGTTGCTAAACGTAGAAACCTGCAGAAGAACAAGCCAAGTTTGTCAATTTTCACAAGCAAAAACACAAGCCAATTCTGTGAGTTTCACAAAGCAAAAGAAAAAAGCTAAATTTTATGAAATTTCACGTTTAACACAGAAAATTTATACAAAGAAAACGAATTACCCTTTTTCCCCAATTCGACGAACCCTAATTTCCCAAATCCGAGTAACCCTAATTTTAAAAACAGATAATCACATCAATTCACACAATCAGAGAGACTTTCCTACCTTTACAAACCGATTGTCACCGATTTTGAATCAAAACTCGAAGATCTGTTGAATTTATCCCCGATATCGTAAGCCACCATTCGCCGATTTGGTGAGCTATTGACGCCCTCGACAACCAGCGTC